TGGGGACAATGGGGACAGTGGGGACATTGGGGACAATGGGGACAGTGGGGACAGTGGGGACATTGGGATAGCATTGGGGACAGCATTGGGGACGTTGGGGACATCAAGGACACACGTGTGACAGGGGCAGTCTCTGCAGTGCCAGGCGGGGTTTGGGGATGGTTTGGGGACATTGGTGACAGTTTGGTGACACTCATGTGTAACATGGGCGGTCTCTGCAGCGCCAGGCGGGGTTTGGGGGCGTTTGGGGACATTTAGGAGACACTGGTGACAGTTTGGTGACGCTCCGGTGACACTCGCGTGTGACACGGGCGGTCTCTGCAGTGCCAGGCGGGGGTTGGGGATGGTTTGGGGACATTGGTGACAGTTTGGGGACACTCACGTGTGACACGGGCGGTCTCTGCAGCGCCAGGCGGGGTTTGGGGGAGCGTTTGGTGACATTGGTGACAGTTTGGGGACAGTTTGGGGACATTTTGGTGACACTCACATGTGACATGGGTGGTCTCTGCAGTGCCAGGCGGGGTTTGGGGACAGTTTGGTGACAGTTTGGTGACAGTTTGGGGACACTCACGTGTGACACGGGCAGTCTCTGTAGCGCCAGGCGGGATTTGGGGGAGGGTTTGGGGACATTGGTGACAGTTTGGTGACACTCACGTGTGACACGGGCGGTCTCTGCAGTGCCAGGCGGGGTTTGGGGACAGTTTGGTGACAGTTTGGTGACAGTTTGGTGACACTCACGTGTGACACGGGCGGTCTCTGCAGTGCCAGGCGCGGGGCGCGGCCACCGTAGGTGTCCCCTTTGAGGGTGAAGGTGGCCAAGTGACCGTCAGCGCTGAGCAGCACCCCAAAGGGATCGGCCACGGCGCAGTGCACGATGGGGGACCCCAAATCCACGGGGACAAAGTGCAGCTGGGTCACTGTGGGGACAGAAATGTCACAGCAATGTCACATCCCCTGAGTGACCCCAAATCCACGGGGACAAAGTGCAGCTGGGTCACTGTGAGGGGACAGAAATGTCACAGCAATGTCACAGGGCACGATGGGGGACCCCAAATCCACGGGGACAAAGTGCAGCTGGGTCACTGTGAGGGGACAGGGGACAGCAGTGTCACAGCAATGTCACATCCCCTGAGTGACCCCAAATCCACGGGGACAAAGTGCAGCTGGGTCACTGTAAGGGGACAGGGGACAGCAGTGTCACATCCCCTGAACGACCCAAATCCACGGGGACAAAGTGTAACTGTGTCACTG